ATTCTTGGTTGGTGCACTGGAAGAAGAAGCAGTTATTCTACTGTCTGGAATTTTTCCTCTTTCCATTCCGAGGTCAAACTCAGTACAACCTCCTATAAATTGAAAAACAGGTTATAAACATTACACACGACTAGGAGACTAACATCTGACCTGGCATGGAGACTCTTGGCTTTCTCCAGAGATTTGGCAGCTATGGCAGTGGTATTTTCTCTTGGGCCTGACTGGACACAATGGAAACCCCTAGATATTCCAAGTAGCTGTCTTCCATTATTTTAGGCAAGGCAGCCATTGCACTTTGCATTGACCCTCTAAAATCTGCCTCACTCTCAACATTTGGCTTCATAGTTCAGTTGGTAGTGGCACCCAACTATTATCTGGGAAGCAAAGGTTTGAATCCTGTCAAAGCCTGAAGTTTTTCACCCTTCTTTTCTGCGAGTATCATTTCTTTGTTTGACTTTCACCTGCAGGTCCAAAAAGAATTTATTCAATTCCAAATTGCCAGACTTTTCTCTCTCTACACTTAATTAAAAGCAATCAAAGGCCAAGCATTACCATCCCTAGCTCAGAACTAGCACCAACAGGCATATATCAATTTGGGCATTGTTTCAGGGAATATCTTTCAACATGAAAATTCAAAAGGCAAACATGTCTGTATTCCAGGCAATAAAGGAGGATAAAGTTAATAAAATGTGGAGAGATAGAGATGGATGATGACCTGCTGTTTGCAAACAGCAGGTCAATTTGAAGGTAATCATTAGCATCACTGTTGTCTTTAGGTGCCCATGAACTTGCACCATTTAAGCGACCATATTTAGCTACATATCCTGGACTACAGTTTGACAAAGCAGAGAAGCTGCTGTCTGGAATGGTATCAGCCCTGGCTACACCAATAGCATGGGTATAACACACTGCAAAATAATGATCCGTAATTAAACTTGAAAATTTATTTAGAAACTTATTTCATGAAACAATCTCTTTGTAATTAACTTCTTGCATTTTAAAGCCCAAAATTGTCCCTGTATTACTCAATTATTTTAATATAGCAGCAACAATGATTCAGTTATTAAGAGTTCAACATGATACAAGTTTTTTGCCCAAGACATTTAACTCAAGTTTCATTACTGTCTAGTACACTAAAAAAACTTTTTAAATATGTCAATGCCCTCTTCACCTTGTAAACTTTTGACAGGAAACTTATTTGAGCAATCAAAGAAATTTGTATTTCAATATTTTCCAATACTAAATGGTTTTTATGTTGTTGTTGCTTACTTTATGGATAGGAGAAAATAATTCATATCATTAAAGCTCATTAGTCAGAATAACAAGTATTACAAGTATTACCAAAATGGCCCAGCCAGTACATTTAGGTTGATGATTAATTAGGTTGGAATCTTACATTATAAATAAGTGAGAAAATCTTTTAAATTAAATTAGTGTACTAAATACTTTTAAATTACTAAATATAACCAAGGGCAGCATTACAGATAAAGTGAACAAGTACTAAGTTTCAAACTCACTTGGCTTTTGAGTCACTCCAAACACTTCTGTTCTCATACACACCCCACTCTGGTGAGTTTGAGGCAGAAATCGGACATATTTTGTTAACACTCCATAAACAGCATGTTTGACCTCTGAGTTTTGGTCACGATTTCCATTTAGAACCTTCAAAAGAAAAGGAAACAAATCTTTATATCTCCTCAAAGTCAGGAATAATCAACATACATTGTTGAAGCTTCTCTGCGACATTGTTTATTCAGAAATATTCACAGCTCTCATTGAGCACAAGAAATTAATTCTCTAAGCAAAGATGTCTTGCAGTATACACCATATGTATGTCTCATACAGCTACCTTAATTTGTCCACCTTCCTTATAGTCTGTCCAAGTTGTCCCTTTTATGGAAACTTGTAGTGTGTAATTCTTAACCCACTGATCTGTTTGAGAATTCCCTTGAGTAGACACAGCACAGATGACATGAAGTGTCTGTAGATCAATCTGTAGATATGGGTTGGTGTCACTTGTTCCTGCACACCATGATGATCCCGATGTGTAGTTCAGTCGACCATTCTCAGCTGGTGTGTTGGCACTTTCTTCAGAAGAAGCAGTTATATTTTTATCTGGAATTGTTCCACTTCCCATCCCAAGGTCAAAATCAACACAAGCCCCTACAGAAACAGAATTTACTCTTGCACCATAACACTGTCATAATAATTATAGTAACATGAATAATGGTTGAGATGTGGGAAACATATGCATGTCTCGAATCTCTCTATAAGGTAAGTCTCATGCAAAGTCCATGTCACAGATGGTAAAATTAGAACTGGTCTGACAAATTAGGAAGAAATCTTTACCTGATCATCAAAACTACAAGTGAAAATACGTTGGGTGACATTTTTGAACGTGTCCATTTTTAAAGAAAGTGGGGAGAATTTATGTTTCGAAAAACTGTTGTGCTGCATCAAAGGCATTGAAGCAGGATGTAAATAAAGGAAAATAAATTGCTGCAGTGAATTTGAGAAATCTGGGTTGTTAACCCTTCCTTGGAGCATAGAGAAGTTGAAATTGTACGATTTAAGGAGCGCAAGGCAGAAATGTACAGACTGGTTAAAGTTAAAAGCTTTACAATAGTGCAGATGATACCACCCGATTTCTTCGTTGAAAGAATAGTTTCATAACCGTCTGCATTTCCTATTGCTGAATAATTCAAAGTTTAAGTTCACTTTTGTATGATTCTCTATGCTTCCAAATTGAGCATGACGTAAAAGTAGGTAGAGTTTCAACTTATTATTCTTTTTAGATGCATTTTACTTTCAAAAAAAGGACGAATCCCGAGGGACTGACTCTGGTTTCCTTCTGATATTGATGCTGATTAAGCCGCGACCGTGGGGGAAAGCCTTGAGCTACAATACTCATGACTGAAAGAAATCTGTGCTCACCTGAAGTCAGTGGAAGAATTACAGCGAGAAAAGCTATCCGGAAACAAAGATAAAATTGCATAATGTCTCGATTGAGTGTGTTACGGTATGCGTGTTTTGCTTGACCACCCTTTTGTCACAGAAAGCTTGTCCGGAAAAAAATTGTTGTCTCCACTATTCAACCTTGGCTTTGAGTGATTCGTACCAATATCGTCCGCGGTTCCAGCAAAACAGTCAGACTCTACGTAGGCCGAGTATTGTCGTCCCTTAGCTAAACGACAGAAACTGAAATTTGCTGATATATCCCAGAACAGCGTGAATTGTAGCTCATGTTTCAGAATATTTCAGCTGATTTCAGTACACACCTCAGCAATTTGGGTTTGTTTTTGCTGCACTCTGCTCAATCTCACTCAGAAACTAAAGTATCAACACGTTTACTCGCAAACTAGTATCGATCTTCGATTGTTTTTTTTTACGAGCGCATGGGATCCTGGGCCCAGTCTCTCTCGTCCTACATGCTACTTTTTCATAACCACCTTACAAGTTAAAATTGAACTATCTTATCAAAGATGAGCGCCTCGATGCATCTCCATTGCCAGTTAGCACATACTTCATGGCTGAATTCCATATAGACGAGAAAATGGCCGAATGAATACCAGCAGCGCTAGCCGTAAATATTTCATGGCTGAATGCCATATAAACGACAAAATGGTTAAATGAAGCAGCAGTGGTATATACCTGATTGCTGAATGCTATGTAGACGACACAATGGATGAATGATATTTTACAATATAGACGACCTTTGGGTTTAGTTTACTAGACACACTTTCCTTACTTAGAGTACTTTCCTTACGTGAAGCGCTTTACCTACTTGAGATGCTTCCCTTAATTAAGCACTCTCCTTACTTGCGGTGCTTTACGTACCTATGGCGCTTTCCTTACTTCAGCTGCTTTACTTACTAAAGATGCTTTTGCGATGTGTGAATTAATTCGAATTCTGCTTTTCCTCACTTTTTCGCAATTTGATGTCTGGAAAAAGAGTGACTACTTTCTGACGGAGAAGCGCGCTGAAGCTTTTCCAATGCGTGTTCAGAATATGTTCTTATACATACGGGAGTGCACTTTAAAATCAAAGGAGGCTGTCAAACCTTTACCTAGAATTTTCTTTGTGTGTTTCTTAGGTCTGCGTAATAATAATATCGAAATGCAACGTTTAGAAAACGGGCGTTTACACACACACACACACATATATATGCACATGTACAACAACAGAAGAAAACAGAAGGTGCCGTATATTTTATATATTTTTCAAATTGCAACGCTTTTAAAAACGAGTGTATATATATATATATATATATATATATATATGTACGTATGTATAAAGTTCAAGGGTAGGTCATGGTAGAGCCTTTCGCTTGCTGCAGGGCGGTGCTGCCCGCGTTAGGCGCGCGTGCTATAACGATATGTTTTTCGCACAAACAGGACTTTGAAGGGGAAAGCAACAATAACGGGGGAAAATAGCTCGGTAAAGTCCACTTCCTGCAGGAACGGAAACTCGTCACGGTTTCCTGACACACGGGGATCTGCTTCAAGCGAACTTGCAACGAACGTCAAGGATTAGACAGCGTTTAGGTTCCACAGTAACTTTATCTTAGTTCATGTCTACAACCGATTGACAAAATTCTGTTAGTGAATGAAAAGAAATAGACAGAGGAGACTTGGTATGCCAAGGTCAGATACGTCTTTTCGTGAAAACGTTTTACTCCATTATCTACAATTGTTTTGTTACTTCTGTACATTTAATACTTATTCATATGTTATTACCTTGGAAAAATCTTACCAAGCATTTTCTTCAATTCGTAAATACTCTATTATCTTAAAAATTGTTTATGAAGTGCAAACGCTCTACAATCTCCTATACAGTTATCTACAAACACTGAACACTAATATTCTGTAGTCTAACATTATTGCATTGCCTTAGGGTAAAAGTGAACAACAATATATTGTATTTAAAGTGAAGAAGAATTTCCTGTTTATAAAAATACATTTACAACGTTCCTAATTTCCCGTAAACGACTCAAACTGTAGAACCCTCTTTAAAAGGTAAAATATAAGGAACAACTTTCAATGGTAGCTAAAACTATCAAGTTTTAACGCTTTGCTCCATGTTTACATCTAATGACTCTAAACATGTCCACTAATTATTTTCTATTTTTATTGTTACTTCTGGCTCAGAACCCACCATGACTTAAATTCAAATTTTCATGCTGCTAACAGAAGATTGAAAAAAAATTAATAAGGTTTTGTTATGCAGAGTAATTTTACGTGTGATCGTCTTTTAAGAGTTTTGTTTAATTTGGGAACCTCACCCAAAGTTTAGAATTTCATTTACCTCTCGTTCGAGGTTAAAACTAAATGCTTCGATCCAGGTATATGTGATTCCTCGTAAAGCATTTTACACAAATCAAACGCAAAATATATACGGTAGTCACGTGGATACATGTAAATATAACAAAGATTTTAGTATTGAATTCGAATTGACTCAATCGAAGGTTGTTACAAGCTAAGGAGGCCCGTAAGGCTCCACTACCTTAAAATGACCATGAAAGTACTTTGATGAGAAACCAATTGCAGCAATGTCTGTTCTTGAAGTAAACAGACTGCACTCCCTAGCTGCATCTACTGAGGAAGCAATTGTGATCACATGTTTTCTCTTCATAGATGATAGATAACCGCACCGTACGCGAAATCATGAAAGTAACAGTAACCGTGACAACGGTGAGTAGGTCGAAACTTCAAATGCGTGCCGTGTATAGTATTACCAAAGTACTCAAAGCTCCTTTTAGCGAGACAAGAACATCTTCTGTAGGGTTTTCATATTTCCTCATAGATTTCATCATTTTGTTTCCCACCGTTTTCTCTCTGAAATACCACATTGCAATATCCGGGATTTCCGGGTTTTTCCGGTAACGACTGATACTCAGTTGGTACATGAGACTGCTGGTTCGTAGGCCTGGGTTTGAGTTCCATATATAAACTTGGGACTGAAGCTTGTTGATCGCTTGACTGTTGATCGGGTGAAGATTTGACAGCTCGTCTCCGCTGCCATATGAACACACCATTCATAATGAGTGACACAACCACAAGGCAACACAATGCGATGACAATAGCTAGAAGGATGCTTTGTGTTCCTTGCCAAAAGGGAAAAAACCAAACTATCAAACACTAATAACCTAGACTAAGTAAATTAAAAATTCCTAATGTTCTACTTAGTTTCTTGTTTCGAGGCAATAATGTTCTCTTTCACATTATAAAATATGACGTTTCTCTTACCTCGAAACGAGCACACAGTTTCAAACTTTCTCGAATCGTCCCTAGAGATTGTTCTTAATTGTTTCGTACAAATTTCCTAAAATCAAACAAATTTCGTTGTATGCTACAAATTTCTCGAACATCTCTTCGGGTCAACTACAGTGTATATCACCCTCAAAAATATAAAACCTGTATTCTGTGCAAAGACACGGTCAGATTTTACTTTTGAGTCTTTAAACATTGTTAGCTGTATTTCGCCTTAGTTACAATCTAACAGGCAAACTTTGATACATGCACTGCGCACCAAAATCATGTTCTTACGGAAGAGACAAAAGTACCTTCACACTGAACAGCGTTGGCGTCTGAGACCACCACATAATTTTGCTTTTGATACCAATATGATTAAACCTGTACAAACAGTTATAATCAGCAGCTCGGAAAACGCCAGCTCAGACCTCAGAGTGCTAGGCTTTCCAAACTTTGTGAGACGAAAAATTTTAAGCGCCTTTGAATTGTGAGGAGGAATATTTACCGTCATTATGTTGAGTATCCTTAGGAGCAAGTAGAGTGATTTGGTACTTTGTTGATCCAAAGCTGTTTGTAGCGTGACACACATACTGTCCATAATCTTGTGCATCCCGTGGCGTGACAATGATACTGTTATTCATTAACTTGATGCCATCACCAGTGGGAACCTGGCCATCTTTCGTCCATGAGTAGTTAAATGGAATGTAACTTGTTGCTTGACACGAGACAAGACACGGAGTTTGCTTTTCACACATCACTGAAGAAGGCGAAACTTCTTTTATAATGCTAGGTGGAACTGTGTGTGAAGAAAAGAAAGCGTAGAGAGGCCAAAATAAATTCAGGCAATGTCACCTGTATCTAAAATCCTGCAAGGAAGATCCAAGAACTCCATCATGATGTGCTTTTCGCTTGCACATTAGTTAGTTCTCTCGGTCGTCGTTGTTGTGTTTTTCACCTTTCTTCTCATTTTCAAACATTTGATTAGTTTGAGTTCACAGAGAGATACGTCAGTGACCTGCCAACAACTGCCTGAAGAAGGGGTGCACAAGTTGTCAAGGTGACGATATTAGTGCTTTGTAGAAGACACTTGATCTTCCACGGATTTACTTAAAGGAACTAAATTATTACATAATTAATACGCAATTTTTCATGTGAGTCAGTTTCTACGTACCAGCGACAATGAGCGTCGAAGCTGTACGGCTGTCTCCAAATCTGTTCATAGCTATGCATTCATAAACGCCACTGTCACCAGGAACAACATTCTGTATAACAAGTATTTTGCCACTGTTTTTGAACTGAGCGCGAGGTATACTGGTGAGTCCATCCTTAGTCCAGGTTACAGAAACTTCAGAGTCTCCATTTACCTCACATGTCAACACTACCAGTTCGTTGAGTGCTACAACGGTTTTTTTTGGGAGGTCTTTGATGACGGGATTACCTGAGTTTTGATAAACATAGATTAAATATCCCTTCTCAAAGCTCAACCCGAGGATAAAAAGCAGCATCAAGGCATGGTATTGAATTACTTACGAAATATCTGTTCCATAACAGATCTGCTATAGGGTCCGGGCCCCACTGCAGTGTAGCCTCTTACAGACACTGCATACTTGGCACACAAGGAGAGTCCAGTTACGAGAATATAAGTAGCGGTGGTGTTAATAGTTGAAGGATATGAAGACTGAATCTCTGTACAGTTTTCTTCTACACTAAGCCTGACTTCATAGTTTATGATAGTGCCATAGGCTACTTCCCTTGACAGTCCAAGCCAAGTTATATTGATTTTTCTGGAGTTCACTGCGGATGAGGATATCCCTTCTGGTCCACGACTGGGCTCTATTTCACAAACACGAGAAATAATTTTCATAAAGTAAAATAACTCCTGGATGAAAAATTAACCCAACCTAAGACTAGAATGGAATTCTTCTTTCTTCCAATATTCCCATGTGAAAAATACACAACAAAATGTTAGACATAAATAAACTCTGGAGCAGACACTTAAATGTTCTAGTCCAAAGAGGAAATACAAAAAAAAAGAAGGGAAATCAGCAAAGGAAAACATACTACTATGCCTCAGTTAAAACATAAGTTATTGTACCTGCTTTAAAACTGGAGTTGATCGGTAATCCGTGCTACGCAACATTTAACTCATAGGAAGAACGTTTTTATGTATTAGACACACTTTAAGAGTTTTATGGTAATGCAAGACAATACTTTTTTAGGTGAGCAGATCGAATAAAATAGACAAAATAGATGTTTGAAATCAAATTATTTTTCAATACGAGTGATAATCAACCAGATGAGGTCTTTTCGTGTTGTTATACAATGTCGTGTGAACGTGTTTAAGTGCTTTGAAATTCACTTAAATAAAACAAGCTTACCATATTCCCTGGACATTACAGTAATCGTCCTATTTGGTCCAGGTTTAATTGTCACAGCTCTGACATCAAACCGATAAGTCACTCCACCTAACACATCGAGTGTGTGATTCAATGCATCTTTGCCTATTCCAGAAATCTCTCTTGGTGCAACTCCATCGTGGCTGTAAAACAAAGTGTAACTTCTGATAACTCCATTTGGCTCTGCAGGCTCGCTCCAGGTTAAGGTTATTTTTGGACCATGCAAATTGCTGGGTGGCACATCAACAGAAGACAAAGATATAGGTGCACTAGGAGCTAGAAGAATACAGAATGATACAAAAAATAATAAAGATGTATGTGTATTAAATAACAACTAATCCCAGCCATGTTCCAGCATTTGGGACACATTTAACGTGAAGATGTACTGCCACCATATTTTTGTGTGAAAGGAACTGGCGTTTCCTTAAGGATCATCTAAAAATTACTATACATCTCAGGTCTTCAAAAGAAGCTGTTAAGAGTTGATTTAATCCAACGCATGAAAAAGGAAATCTTCTTAGTATCAAGAAAAAAGCAATTGAAGAGGCGAGGTGAACTATTTGAGCCTGGAGTCTACATTCGAAAGATAGCAACTTGAATCGATCAGTAAAATCACCCTTATCTCAACAACTACAGTGGTAGAGTTCACAGTTCCCACCATCTTCCATTGTTGTTCTGAAAACAGAAGAACTGTTTGGTCCATCACCAGCAGAAGTGAAGGCCAACACTTGAAATTCATATTCAGTGTATTCATCAAGCTTGGTAACTCTTCTTGACGTGTTTCCATTGTCTAGTGTCAGGGTGGTTGCAAAACCTGAGCCTTTCTTTTTATAGAATATTTTATATCCTTTGACGATTCCATGTCTGGAGCCTACTGGAGGTAACTGCCATGAAGCTGTGATGCTGGTTGAAGAGTTCACAAATACAGTGAACTGAGAGGGCGGTTGTGAAGGAGCTGCAATTGAGCAATCATGTTTTAATTACCAACTTAAATTAATGAATCAGACTGACCTTCATTTTCCCTAATAACTGGACTCTGCAGCCTCAACCTTTAACACTTAAAAACTGTTTTTTCCTCTAATTGACACGCCTTAAATGGCAATGTTCAACTCAACTGCAGGATAAAAGAGTTTCTAACCAATTCTTAAGCTGTAAAAAAATATATTATTAGAAAAATCACCGCTCTTCCCTTGCATGGGTATTGCAGCTAAAAGTAATAATTATGTTCCTATGTTTTTTAATAAATGAAAACTTCGTATTTTAGGTCTTAAAGCATGGCAATAAAAGCTACGACCTCGCGGTAAAAGAATCCGATTGCCATAAAATGGGAAAAAAATTTCAATATAATTATGACCTTATCTCTCTTATTCATCACTTTCAACATTGCCGACACCACACCTAACTGGTATCCTAATAGATGCTTCATGAAATTAAACATTTGGAAGAACCTTACTATTACTTATTTTCGCCAGAACTTAATTTCGCGAAAATAGAACGGGCATATTTCGATAGACTTTAAATTTGCAGTTTGGCCAAAAACATAAACTAAAAAAAAGAAAATTTTGCAATAATTGTCGCAATACTGACCTGCATTAAGAAACAGTTACTCTTAGAATTGGCAAATGCGATTTTTCATGTTTCCGTACCTGTGGTTTCCAACGACACTGAACAGAACCATACTATGACAAAACGAAACTGGAAAAAGGGTTATTTGGTATTATCAACAAGGTTGATAACGTAAATTGGCCACCGTAAAGGGTTACAAAGCAACCGTTTCCAGCATTAGCCTTTCGTCACAGCGAGAGAAACTGAAAAAAGTTTGACATGTTCCTTTGCAACGAAGCAAAGCTATACATGAGTGCATAACACCATTTATTCACACCTACAACCGAAGGGTATTGCCAATTTCTTTGAGTGGATCCTCAAGAGGAAGAGCTGACTCCTCTTTTACTACCCCGAGAATTCCAGCTTTCTACTTCCTTTTGGCAACGTAGTACTTTTCCTAACTACCAAGTATCTTAAATGCGAGTCTTTAATTTATTGACATTTTGAACTTCAAAAAATTACTTCCGAGACCCAAGAAAATGGTTAAAAATAGGGTATTTTGTAATAATATCAATAGCATGGATGCGCATGGCAAGGTGTCTCACTATAAAATTCAGAAAACTATATACACTTGAAAAATTGCAACTTTGGAACGCTAGCTGTGTAAAGATTTATCACATCCGAGATCAAGCAAACAAACATATCTTATAAGTTTTTTCAAGACTGTTTGATCACTACTTTAGGGCTGAGTAACATTAGTTGAATAAGATTAGTTAAACAATTAGGATCGCTTAAGTCTTCAGCTAACAAAGAAAAAGACATTTTGTTAATTGATTCACAACAAATGGCAGTCATCTACACTTAGTTATTCATTTTCAACAATCCTCATCTTATTTCCTGACTTTTTTATTACATCATATATGTAAAGTAGTGTAGGTGCATCATTTTTAGATTATTTGTACTATAGTATTAATATTGATGAAGATATATGCAGACTGAAGAAATTTAGCTAGTAGTAGCTTTCTCCCCTACTTTTGTGTTATTCCAATTAATAAATAGGTGTCACCCAACTAGCCCTTAAGTTATTTTGGGTGACCAGCTACTGTCTGTTTTTTGA